GGCAAAAGCACGTTTTAAAACGGCTGCCTTCAAAACAGGTAGGGGGAGCGCGCCCGCCCTACCTATCTGTCCCGCGGGTGTCAGCCGCCGGGTCACGGCCGGTTTTTACCGGCCGTTTTCCTGCGATTGACGGTGATCGCTGACACAGAGCAGGGCTGCATTGTTTACACACAGCCCTGTTCTGTGTCAGTTCTCTGACAGCTTGTGAGAAGCTGCAGAGTTTCTCTCCCTCGATCAGCTCCCCCCCCCCCCCCCCCCCCCCCCCCCGTCCAGTACACACCCCCGCCCCCCCCCCCCCCCCGTCCAGTACACACCCCCGCCCCCTAGTAAAACACTCCCCTTACACAGCAAATTCTAAAAATGTTAACCCCTTCCTCCCCAGTGACATTAGTACAGTTTCAGTGGTTTTTTTTCACTGATCACTGTATTGGTGTCACTGGGGATGTCAGTGACCCCAAGTCAGTTCCCCCCCCAGTGTCAAAATGTCCGCCGCAGTCCTGCCATAAGTCGCTGGTCGCCGCCATATGTCGCTGATCGCCGCCATATGTCGCTGATCGGCGCCATTATTAGTATAAATAAAAATTCCAGTATCTTTCCCGCCATTTGTAAACGCTATAACTTTCACGTAAACCAATTAATTTACACATATTGGGATTTTTTTTTTTTAGCAAAGACATGTCGCAGAATGCATTTTGGCAGAAATTTGACTAAATTTGATTTTTTTGCATTTTTTTTTTTTTTTTTTACTGGACATGTTTTATAGCAAAAAGTCCAAAATATTGGTTTTTTTTTTTCCTCAAAATTGTCAGACTTTTTTTTTATAGCGCAAAAAATAAAAACCGCATAGGCAATCCAATACCACCGAAAGAAAGCTCAATTTGTGGGGAAAAAAGGATGTAAATTTAATTTATGTACCATATTGCATGACCGCGCAATTGTCCGTTAAACTAGCGCAGCGCTGTATAGCAGAAAAATGGCGTAAATTGCAGTATTTATACCATAGTTTGTAGACGCTATAACTTCCACACAAAGCAATCAATATACACTTATTGGGATTTTTTTTTACCAAAAACATGGAGCAGAATACATTTTGGCCTAAATTTATAACCAACTTTGAATTTACTATATATTTTTTATAGCTGAAAATAAAAAATATTGTTTTTCTTCAAAATTTTTGGCCTTTTTTTGTTTATAGCGTGAAAAATAAAAAGCGCACAGGTGATCAAATTACACCGAAGAAAGCTCTATTTGTGTGAAAAAAAGGACGTAAATTTAGTTTGGGTGCAGCATTGCATGACCGCGCAATTATCAGTTGAATTAGTGCAGCGCCGAGTAGCAAAAAGAGGCCTGGTCATTAAGGGGGGTAAATCCTCAGGAGCTCAAGTGGTTAAAGGATAAGTTCACCTTTAGGTTACATGTTACACCCATATTTAGGGTGTAAAATGTTACTAATCAATACCTGTTTAAATAAAATGTTCCTAATCACATGTTTTTCACCCCCAGAGACACTGTCGCAGTTAAAACCTGCGTAGCTCCACCCACACAGCAGCGTCATTCATTCACAGACATCTGTGAATGAAAAAAAAAAAACAAGTCCAGTCCGCCACTGCAGATGGCTTTTAGTTCTCAATGAACTACGGGTGCACTGATTAGCACACTTGTAGTCTATTGACATTTCCTACAGCTTTCAGGAATAGAGTCTGCAATTATGGCAGGGAGATCTTGCTGTTAGGGTATTCAAGACATAAGAAAAGATCTGACTTGTCCCACTGGGCTTCACCTATAACGAATATCTGTTGTGTAGTCTGGCCCTTTAATACTGCCCAGTTGGATGGATTGATCCTTTAAAGCTGCCCAATAGTATGCAGTAAGATATTTTTATTCATTACTGCTGTAAAAACTACATGAAAGTGCTTATGGGGGGGCAGATCTTAGGAAACCAGGTCCCCTCATACTTTCTCCCTCTACAAATCTGCATTTCTTATCTACACCTCCTCCCTCCACGCCGCCAAGCAGGCCTACTTTGTTAACCTAATAAACACCCTCTCCTCCTGCCCCCGCCGACTCTTCTCCACCTTCAACTCCCTGCTCTCCCCCCCCCCCTCCTCCACTCAGTACCTCTCTCACCGCCCACGAAATTGCCACCCATTTCCACAACAAGATTGACGCTATCCGTAAGGACATCGTCAACTTGCAATCTACCTCCCCACCTAGCCTCCTCGCCCCCGTCACCCCTTCATCTCCCCCCTCCTCTGCCCTCACAACCGCACTGCCCCCCTCCTCTCCCAATGCCCCCCCACCATAACCCCCCCCGCACTGCACTCCCTCAGCCCTGTCACTACTGAGGAAGTCGCCAAAGTCCTCTCAAAAAGCCCGCCTCACTACCTGCCCCCTGGACCCTATCCCCTCTCAACTCCTCCGGTCACCCCCCTCTTCCCTCATCCGCTCCCTCACCCACATCTTCAATCTCTCCCTCTCTACTGGCGTATTCCCCTCCCCCCTAAAGCACGCGCATATCACCCCCATCCTCAAAAAGCCCTCCCTGGATCCCGCGGACCCCAACAACCTCAGACCCATCTCCCTGCTGCCACTCACCTCCAAGCTCCTTGAACGCTTAGTCTACGATCGCCTAAGCTCCCACCTTACTGACAATAACCTCCTTGACCCTCTACAGTCCGGCTTCCGTCCCCTACACTCCACTGAAACCGCCCTCCTCAAAATCACTAACGACCTACTCAACGCCAAAGCCAAGGGCGACTACTCTGTCCTCCTTCTCCTGGACCTCTCTGCGGCCTTCGACACAGTTGACCACCCCCTCCTTCTTAATAAACTACTCTCCCTTGGCATCGGAGATGCTGCTCTCTCTTGGTTCTCATCCTACCTATCCCGACGCTCCTTCAGTGTCACCTACAATGGTGCCACCTCCCCCTCCCTCCCCCTCTCTGTTGGGGTCCCCCAAGGCTCTGTCCTTGGACCCCTTCTCTTCTCCATCTACACCTCCTCCCTGGGCAAACTCATACAATCTCACGGCTTCAACTATCACCTCTATGCTGACGACACCCAAATCTACCTCTCCACCCCTCACCTCACCCCCACTATCTCCGCCCGCATCACTCACCTCCTAAATGACATCTCAGACTGGATGTCGCTACATTTCCTCAAGATTAACCTCTCCAAAACCGAGCTTCTCGTCTTTCCCCTGCCCACACAACCCCCCCCCCCCCCCCCATCCTATCCATCATCACAACAACTCCACTATCACTTCCGCCCCGCAAGCCAAAGTCCTTGGCGTCATTCTTGACGCGAACCTCTCCCTCCAACCGCATGTCAAATCACTCACAAACACATGCAGGCTCCATCTTCGCAACATTGCCAAGATCGCTCCTTCCTCACCCCAGACACCACCAAACTTCTAGTACACTCCCTCATCATCTCACGCCTTGACTACTGCAACTCCCTCCTCACTGGCCTACCCAAGTGCAGGCTCTCCCCGCTCCAGACCATCCTGAACTCAGCTGCCAGACTCATCCACCTTACCACCCGCTCCACCTCTGCCACCCCCCTCTGCCTCTCCCTCCACTGGCTCCCGATTGCCCAACGCATCAAATTTAAACTCCTTACCCTGACCTACAAAGCCGTTCACAACACTGCCCCTGACTACCTCACCAATCTGATCACCAGGTACCACCCTACCCGTACCCTTCGCTCCTCACAGGACCTCCTTCTATCCTGCTCCCTGGTCCTCCTCCCATGCACGACTGCAGGACTTCTCCAGGTCCTCCCCCATCCTCTGGAACTCACTGCCCCAATCCATCAGACTGTCGCCTTCTCTATTCACATTCAGGCGCTCCCTCAAAACCCATCTCTTCAGGGAAGCCTACCCCACCCTCACCTAACGGCCATCCTCCCTCATTCCTCCTACCACTTCATCCCCCCCCAGCCACTTCCTACTGTACCTTTACCCCCTCCCTCCTAGATTGTAAGCTCGTAAGAGTAGGGCCCTCTTACCCCTCGTACGCTGTCTGTCTTTTGTTGTACTGTGCCATGTATTGTCCCCCCCTATTGTACAGCGCTGAGCAAACCCTTTGGCGCTATATAAACTCGTAGTAATAATAATAATAATAATAATCTTCTCTTTCCCTTTTTGTTTTTTATAAGAGGTAGTGTGTAATACAGTTTGACATGTCAGCATCCATAGCCATGTGTGTACAATATCCTGTCAGTTGTGTTGATCTTGTTTCCACTGGTGGCAGCGATAACCACAGCAATGTGTTTAGACATTGAAATAATTAATGACCTGTTTATTTGGATTAAGACAATTGTTTTTCAAATTGTTTCCAAGTGTTTGAGGATGTGCTGTCTGTTTGTCTTGGTTGTGCAATTACTGTGCATTCTTTAACCCCTTTTAGTGAGCTACACAGGCAAGTTTTATGTCAATCCGGTAGGTAGCTGCCAGTAAGTGAATTGCATTGCTGCTATACTACCCATATAGAGCCGGGGTGATATTCTGTTTTCACAAAAGTTTCGTACATGGGAACCACAGATGAGTATAATGTTCAGGTTCCATATACACGGGGAATTTTAATAACGCTGGTAACGTTAGCTGTGTAAAGTCATGTTAAAAAAAACGTGAGGTTTTTCTTTAGCATTTAGCTGCGTTTTTTTTGTGTTTGCTAGAGGTTTTTTTTTTTTTTTTTTGTAGTAAAAAAAAAAGTCCAAAAATGCTTATTTACCACGTTTTGCTGCTTTTTTCAGCGTTCGAGCATTTTTGCAGATCCTCTAGAAACTTAATAGGTCTAGGGGGTTTTTCTCCTGCCAAAAAACGTTGATTACAGTCTGTTTGCATGGACACATAGGATAACATGCTGGGGAGTTTACTGGCTGTAGGAAAAAAAACGTCAAAAGCCAAAAACAGCCACTGTAAAAACGTCCAGTGTGCATGAGAACTCAAAGTTTGCACAATCAGATGTTATGTTTTATTTACATTTTCTGATTTCTAGGCACAAGATCTTTTACATGTTGACAAAGAACCCACCATTCACAAAGAACATGGAGTCGCCCTTGTGTAATGAAGCTCTTGTTGACCAGCTCTGGAAGCTGATGAATTCAGGTAACTCACCAAAAAGACTTATATGGAACGTATATATCTAGTACAGTTTTTATTTTACAATTTTTTTTTTTTTCTTTTTAAATGAAAAGTTCTAAGATTATTCTCCGTTTTTTTTTTTTTTTTTTTTTTTTTTATAATTTTTTTATTGGAGCATTAAAAGATGAAAAACATCATTTGTACAGTGGTACATTATATACAGGTCAAAGACAGTTGTCATTTTTATATATATTCAACATTTATTTTTCGGTTATTATTATGCAAGCTTCATTTCTATAACATTTGCATTAATGCAAGAGGTAGCCTACTTGCTTTTTGGTAGCCTGTGTAACGAATGCTTATGATTTGCCTATATTACAGGGAAAGTTCCTCCTTAATGTGTTACTAAACCCACAACAGTAAAATTAGTCTGTATATGCAGTACAGCATGCTTGTTATACTCACTGTGGAACCTAAGGGGTTAATCTTCCGCAATGTGTAAAAAGGATGTTTGATCATGTCTTCTCTGATCCTCCCCTTATTCTATTGTCCCCAATACATCTGCTGATAGAATAGAGCCTTGGGGGCAAGCTGCACATGCTCAGTTTCGTGTGTATTGCTAGAGAGTATTTTTTTTTTCTTTATTAGAAGAATGCATATGATCGGCACAGGGCCAATCGGCACTGTCTAGACAGAGGGTCAGGTGATATGCAGCCTTATAGGACAATCTGGGTAGAATGAAAACTCCCCCTACAAGCTTTAACCAGTGCTCTGCTGAACACTGATAGAAGTCACAAGACTGCTATATACTGCTGATGAGAAAAGGTATTTAGCAGTTTATATTTCCTAAAATAATTGCATTTTCATGTACTGTAGGAGACCGGATATAGTGAATGCAAGGTCATATATATAGTAACACTTTAGGGCTCAGTTCACACTAGCCGACTCCAACGTTGAGTGATTTTCAGTGTGACTTTGGAGTCCAACTTTGATACAACTTAAATGCCAGAAAGTGTAAAAGTTGTATCAAAGTCTCATCAAAGTAGTGCAGGAACTTTTTCTGAAGTCAAAGTGACTTCAGTATTGTCCATTGGAATGGCTCTCAGAGATGCATGGCATTTCACTTGTTCTGCGACTTTGGGTCTCACAGTTCGGATCCTAAGTCTCAGAAGTGTGATCCGAGCCTAAAGCAGAACTTCACTCTCTCAGTCAACACTGACTGTTGTTAATCCCTACGCTGCAAGCGTTCGTAAATGGATAGGAAAGTATGTCATTTTTACTCATTTTAAACTTTTTATTTTTGTACTTCAGTTACCTCCTGGTTTCCATGCCTAGGCAAATGATGTCATACATCCCAAGAGTCTTCAGGAGGGGAGGAGGGTTTTTCGTATCTAAACACACTCTCCTGCCTCCATGCCTGAGCTAAGGGTAGATGGATTCCAGGAAGTAAATGCTGCATGAATCATCTGTCCTTATTCAAGATGGTCTTGGCCAGAAATGCTAGGGGGTGTTTGTCAACGTGATTTCTTAGGGAAATAAAGAATGAAGACATAGATGGATGGGCAGGAACAGTGGTTTTGGTTTGTGGTGCTCAGATGCAGGGAAAATCCACTTTAACAGTTTCTGATCACTGCAAACGGAAAGTTCTGTTTTTAGTTTTTAATAATCAGAGCAAACTCACCCATCCATCCATGTCTACATGCTTTATTTTGTTTTGAAATCACTTTGAAAAACACCCCTCTAGCATGTCTAGCCACAGCCATCTTGAGTGGGGCAGATGATTCATGTAGCAGTTACTTCCTGGAATCCATCTGCCTTTAGTTCCGGCATACAGGCAGGAGGGAATGCTTAGCTGAGAATGCACCTCCTCCAGATGAAAGAAAATGATGCCCCTGAAGACTTCTGGAATGCAGGACATAATTTTGGCATAGGCCAGAAACCATGAAGCAACTGAAGAAAAAAAAAAAAAGTTTAAAACAAGAAAATATACTGGTAACATTAGTAAATAGATAGGAAGGTATATTATAAGGATTAAAAATAGCTAATGTTGATTGAGAGAGTTTAGTTCTGCTTTAAGTGTAATTTGGAAGTCAGGAACCACAGGGAAATCGCATGGTCAAAAAGATCATGCCATTTCCCTGCATTCACCTTTTTTCATTTTTTTTTTTTTTTGTTTGTGTGTGGAAAACACAAACACGGCAGCCCCTTCAAAGGAATTGGGTGCCGTGCCCAGGCAAACTAGGGTCACACGGCCCACGCAACTGTGCACCAGGGCTTAAAGCTGAATTCCAGCTGCTTTGTAAAATGCTCTGGATTACTAGGGGTTAAGTTCAATGAATTGCATGCAACCTTGTGGACTTGTCTCTTAAATTTACTAGTTCTATTTTTACTTAGCACTAGGAGTACAGCTATTGCTTACTTATGGCACTTCAAAGCTGGACTTTCTCTCTGCCTGCCCCTCCCCTCCTCCTGCCCAGTCACAGAGTGCTTTGTATTATGTGAACTCATTCAAAAAACCCAAAGGCTTCTATGAATGGACAGTGGAGGAGCATTGTGGGCAAAGTTGCTGTGTGCAAGAAAGTATTGTCTCTCCAGTCAGAGCCCTAAGAGTATAGTGATAGCTGCCTTCCCAGAGCTCCATAAAACTCTGCTGTGAAGAGATAAGTCCACAGGTGGCATTCACCTCGACGTATCCCATAGTATTCCAGCACATTTTACAAAGTTCAGCTTTTAACATCTGTGCTCAAAGTAAAACAAATAAGACAATTAAAGTAGAAAACGCAAAAGGAGATATACCTCCAAATATCAAATTATAACATAGAATGTGTTGCGCTACAAATCATATACAGAAAATAAATACCATCATGAATTATTAGACGTGAAAAATACCCGCATGCATAATCATTGTAAGAAAGTGTCCATAGAGTGCTTATACTGTACTTCATAATCCGTATAAGTCCCATAACCTCTAAAAGCCAACAAAGTCTCCTTCGATTTGCAAATTTATTCTGTGTCCACCAACACTGATGATAGTGACAAGATGTCAGCTTCCCAAATTGCATTGACCCCCCTTACTCTGAGCAATAAAATATGGCATCAGCTGTAAATTTCCAACCTCAATGGTGTTTCTCCACACACATTATGGGATTATATCCATCCAAGATTTCCTAAGCAACACACTTGATCTCCACCAGTATAAACTCATGCAAAACCCAAACCGGATATCATATGTACTCTCCAGCGCCTCAGGATATGCACAGCCAAAAGGGAAGCCAAGGGTACCAGGACAGCGACAACCAAAGGAAATGTTCCAGGGGTGCAGCCCTCCTCAGACGGGGAAATCAGCCACTGGATAGAGAGAAAACAGGTGGTGCACACACCTAGTGCATTATCCAAGGTTTATTGTAGGAATGAAATAATAAAAACCTACTCAGACGAAGCATGTGTCTAAAAAGCATAGAAAAATGACAATGGCCACAACGGCGGGCAAGGTGTTCTGATGACCAACCTCTGATGCTGATGTATGATGTATGGACAGAAAGAACCTCGCTGTTGATGCCTGCAGGAAAGGGATTCGTCCCCGAAACGCGTCAGCCATTTGACCGCACTGACAGTGAGAACACCTTGCCCGCCGTTGTGGCCATTGTCATTTTTTCTATGCTTTTTAGATACATGCTTCGTCTGTGAGTATGTTTTTATTATTTCATTCCTACAATAAACCTTGGATAATGCACTAGGTGTGTGCGCCACCTGTTTTCTCTCTATCATGCAAAGCCCAGCATAAAGGCACTCCTTTTATAATAAGCTCATTCCCAACGTATGCTGTACATACATTGTCACTAGGACATTGACAACAGCAACTATTTGTTGAAGGTAATACCTACTGGATGGTCACACATGACACTGTCACAGGGTGTGAGATGGCTTACAAAAACAGCACAGGGCAGAATGATGGGGAATAACCATTATCTGTGGCGTGTATCCCCTGCCTGGAGTTCTGCTTTAAGTGTACAGAGCCTAGGAACAAGTTGCTTGTGTTGCATAAAGGGCTCTAGCAAAGCTGAGCAGTATTTAATGTGCCCCATGTAAATACTTATTTGTGAAGCCTTTCATTGAGAAAAGACTCTCTGGCATATGCATTTAACCACAATCTCTGTCCCCTGGGATACCACACATAGACTGCTGGCTTAATTACTAACTGAGGCCATCTTTAGGGGACTTTTTTGGTTTTCCTGCTCAGGTTTCTCCCATAATGTGTGAAAGGGATATTTGAGCCTGTCACATCAACAACACTTGTAACTTTTTGGAAACCACGTGCTGAGCAGGCACCATGCGCTTCATGGCTTCCCACTGAGAGTCTTTGTAAAAGTGCTTGATGTGTGCATCAGGAAAAACATAAAAGCCTTGCAACCAAAGTGTCAGGTATGAGCCTGAGTTCTCTTGACAGGCAAGAAGAAGAAGCCGTGTGTGAAATAGCTTAATTTACAGATGGCACATAGATATGTAAAGCTCAACCAGGCAGAAAAAAATTATAACAGGCAGTGGTGCTGTGACCGCACTGCAAGGGTTAATTGCTTCTTTTATGTAGGGGAAAGGAGATATAGTTTTACTCACTTGATCCTCTGCTCCTCTGGCAGGCAGTGCTCCCCCATGATCCAGTGGCGGACTGTCCCTCATTGTCCTCACATCCAGAACAGGGCTGTGGACCTTGTTCTGGTCTTGATGACATCAGGACCCTAGACCACTAGAGCATGGGGGTGCAGAAGATGCCGGGACCAGTCTAGCTCTGGGGAGGAGAGGAGAATTGGGTAAGTATATTTCCTTTTATTGTTCCCCTAGACATAAATGAGTGATTAACCCAGTGCAAGAACAGCCCCACTGCAAGTGATAATCTTTTATTTGCGCTGTGCTTTAAAACCCATCTCAGGGCAAATTTCTGTCCCTTCCTCGGCTGCTAGCAACTCAAAGAGGGGGGGTCTGCATGGTACCCTTTGTGTTATAAACGTGTCCTGCAAAGCTAATAG